ACGTGGAGCGTCTCCACTGTCCTGGGCCCCAGGATGTTGATGGCAGACACTGTGCAAGGAAGGGACTTAGGTCTGGTAGGAAATCCCCAGCCCAGAGGCCTCCAGGGTAGGCCGTCGGACATGCTCATTATTCCCAGCTATGCCAAATGCACTGCATGTTATTCAACTAGGACTCGAGCAAGGGTCAACAGAGAGAGGTAGCTGTGACTAGAAATGGGGTGAAAAAGAGAAAGGTTGATCCTAGAAACCATCAGGGATGCTTCAAATTTATAATTTTCTTGTATTTTATATAGTATCACAGTCCATACCTCATAAGCTCACAGGCATAGTCAAAATGTTGATTTTCCTTTCCTGGCTGGGGTGGGGGGAGGAGGGATATAGATAATAACCAAACTGGGATGCTGGGTAGCAGCCAATTTAATTGACAGGTGCCCCCCGTCCCCCAGAGGTGCAAATCAGAAAATCCGCGAGGTGCTGCTGGTTTCAGATTCTGTCTTACTGAAAAGAAACCAAAGGTCTCAAGAATCAATTGCAAAGTGTTGGATTATGTTCAGAATGCAGCGAGGCACCAAATGGATTATCCAAACCACTTTGTGCCCTGAATTGTTTTTTAAACTTGGTTTACAAAGATACATTTGAAGAAATCTTTATGTTCAACATAGCTCTTATATCTCTATAACATATAGATTTTTTTTTTGCTCTATTCCCACCTCTAAAGAAAGCTAGGGTCACCTTGAGCATACTTCTAGTTTTCCTTTGGGTGGTAAGTAAACCAAATTAGCATTTTTCTTTTAAAATTAACAAAAATGTATACCATCTGTGACATCCAGCTTTTAAAGCAGATGTTATCATTTGATCACATTAGATATATGCCTTTCGGGGTGTACCTCATGCTGACAATCCACTGAGTTTCCTTAACATTACGGACATCTCACTGCGAAGTTATGGCTTGAAAGTTTTTGGCCTCGAGGTTCAACTTGGGAGTCAGTGGCTTTGGGAGCTGGAGCTTTCCCAATCTCACAAAGACCCACTTGTTACTTGTGACGTAGCCTCCCCTCTAACATCTGTCCTGGGTGTTATGTAGGCATGGGAGGCAGCGGGGAGGGCTGGTAGACTTTATAGTTGCTATCTGCAAGCCTGTTATTGACTTTATTTTCCTGAAGGAGAGACCAAGGTACCTAAGGTTTATTGATTTGCCTATAGTGATTCAGTGAGTCGGCAGGGCACAGGGAATAAAACCAATTTCCTGGCACCGTTTCTCATGCATACAGCCCCTTACCTTGCGATGCCTAGACTGGAAGCCAAGAATCCATCTCAGAGAATTTGATCAGAAAACTTATGAAGGGTGATTCTGAAACCACAGAAGCATTGAGAAAGTCATAAAGATGTATAATATATGATAGCATTTACCAACTATAAATAGGGATATGCAGGGGGAAAAATAAAGACCTTATAATCCATTGGGTCAGGAGAAATAGAAAGTGCTTAATATTTCATTTAAATGGATTTTCATAAATTGCACTTTGATATCTTTGGGCAAAAGACAATATGTAAGGACCAGGGTGTTGTCATTTATTACTCTTTGTTATTAATAATTTGAACTGTTAGTGAGGCAAAACATCCAGCAGATATGCTCTCCCTCTGAGTGGGGCACTCACCATGTGTCCTGGTCACCATTTAAGGTGTATAAAAGTCCACAGCACTTGTCCACAAACCACTCAGGCTATCAGCGACAGTGAGTGACTAAAACGCCCTGTTACAAAGTGAACGCTCCCGGGGCAGCGCTAGATTGAAAACTCTTGTGAAGGCTTAGAATCTGGAGGACAAAAAGGACCTTACACATCAACTCACATAATCCTCTCATTTAACAGAGGAGGAAGTCAGGGCTCACCCTTTCGAGCTAATTTGCAGTAGAGTCTGTCTCCTGGCTCCTAGTTCAGTGGTGTTTGGGTCCCCCACCCCGCATACACCACACTCAGAGTAAAAGGTATATAAATAGTTTACTAAAATAAGATGTTATTCCTTCAGCAAAGGGAAGAGCTTGCAGAGGGAAGAGATCAAGAGCACACAAGAAACTGAGAAAGGACTGGGCTCGGAAACATGAAGGGCAATGTGAGGCCCCATTGAAAGAGCCTCATGTGGTTCCAGGGGTGGGAGAAGCTGAGCAAAATGGAATGGCTGAGTGAAGTTCAATTTGAGCAGCCAGGCTGATGGCCATGGGCAGATAAACCAAGTGGGTGCCTCCCTCTCTGACCAATGTCACTGTAGGCAAAGACCTGGGGGTGCTCCCTCAAAGCCTGTGACCACGTACATCCGTGGGAAGACCAGCCGTCTCCCTGGACATGTACACATGTGTGTGCACACACTCAGCCTCACTCACATACATGCCAGCCTCCCAAAGGCAGTCCAAAGACACAGTCATTTCCTTACTGAGGTAGGGGAAGAAAGGTTTGTTGGTATTATCTGCCAAGGCTGAGAAATGAAGGGGTCAGATAAGATAAAATTGGATATTAAAAACACATAAGACGTGCTGTGTTTCTAACTAAACAGTACCAGCGTGGTGTGTGTGCTGTGGATTGCAGCTGTGTTAAAGTTCAAATCCACTCAACACTCCAATTATGCATTCACATGGCCAATCAGGCCCCCTCCCCTCCAACTCCTTAGCGTCTCCTGATGGAGGCCACACACAGTCACTGTCATCATCCTCAGGGAGCTGGCCAGTGGTGACCCCCCGCTGCTCACAGCACCCGTCCCGAAATAAGCAAAGTGCTGCATTTGCTTCTTCCTTGCCAAAACAAAACAAAAAACAAACACAAAGCCTCTGCCTCATGCTGAATTCCGGTGATTCTAGGAGAACTGATTAATCTTCCCTGAACGGGTTCAGTTCCTCTTCCCCTTTCCTCAGAGCCACAGAGCACTTTATAAGCACCCAGAAAGCCAAGGAATGGGCATGGTGAGGCGGGGGCCTTCCTGGGCCCTGCTGCCTCCTCCAGCTCTCCCTCTCTGAGAGTAAGAGCCTCGGCACCTCTCTTTGCCTCCCTCTGTAGGTCTCTGCCCGGTGTCCAGCTCTCACCCTCTCTCTGTGTGTTTCCTTGGCCCTTTCCCTTCCCTACCTTGTGTCTTCTCGCCCCTCTTTTCCCTCAGTCCCTATGCATAAAGCAGCCAGATGGAACCGTGGAGAGATGAGAGGTCCTGCCTCTGTGCTCCCTGCCTCTGTGCCCCACAGCAAGGCAGCCAAGGAGAAGCTGGTGGCGTTAAGACCAGAACAGGAGTCTCTCTGGGACTCAGTGGGCTAAGCTCCTGGAACAAGGGATTTAAACAGAATACGGTGGGCTGGCAGACACCTATTTCTTCCTCTCCTTTCCTCTGTTTGTCTTAAGCAAGCCACTTCTCATTTGGTTGCCAAAGTGTGATGTCCCTTGACCCTTCATCCTCACCATCGGTGGTGTGCTTTATATGAAATGGCTCTAACTTTGGACATTAGCGAGCAGGAGATGTGGCAGGTTCAAGGTTGCCAAAAGTCAGAGCTTCTGGTTACACTTCCTGGGGAAGAAAGGACCACATTGTTCATTAGCTCTAAGCTTCCATGCTGTTCTGTTTCCCAGAGCATTCTAAATTGGGATTGCAAACGCACCAGAACAGCAGCACAGCATCCACTCAGCCCGTGCTAGGGGACCTTAAAGGCTCTGTGACTTCTAGGCACCAACATAAACATTGCAACTGTACTGAAAGAGGTGGCAGTCCGCCTAGGAAACTGCAGCCTAAAACCTAAAAACGTAGCAAGGGCTTTTGGATCCAGACAGATGGCTTGGAGCCTGTTTCCTCATCAGTAAGGTGGGAATAATAATAATACTTAACTTCGGGGTGTTGTGGATGCAATTGTCTTTACAGAGTGTCTGGCTCGAAGGTACTCATATTCAAATACACCGGTTTCCCAGCCCCGTCAATGACCAAACACCTGGCGCGATCTAGGTATCATGAGCTGAAGCATCAACTCCCCTCCCCAGGGGGAATTGCTAGCTGTGGCACAGTTGGCAGTGTGTAGATTTACAGTCACTTGGTTATTACAAGCTGTGACAGGTATGATTTAAAAGTGATGGTTGGTTACTTGGTCTTTCCCTCCACCCTTATCCCAGAAACCAAGAGAAACTCACATATACTTGCTCCAGCTACTTTTTTAATGGAGAGCAAACACAAAAAAGCATAAGGTCCATATGGCAGTTATTGATTTGGGCCATCTGGTAAGCTAGGACTTGCTCCCACCATGTTGGATTAGAAGCTATTCCAAAAAGCCTTTCTTCCCGTAAGAGATGCATTGGTCAGATGGCGACAGGGATGGATTTCATTACAGGGCGGGGACTGCAGTGAGAGGAAGCCAGAGCAGGACTCCAAGGGGACCGTCTGCAACCCTGACCCTACAACAAAGACCAGAGAGAACCAAGAACATGTTGATTGACACCGGGGCACCGGGGGTAGACAGTGCCTCCCACCCGTTCATGGCACAAGGAAGCCTCTAAGTAACAAAAACAATTGTGAAGCACTTCCTAATCATTAAATACCCTGCAAATATTATTATATGCCTGTAACATGAAGAAGAGGGAGAGTCAAATTCACGCTCATGCGTGAGGTCCACTAGCCCTAAAAGATGACATTTCTGCTCCATTTTTAAAGGATATTTTACTCCCTCCCCCTTTAGCTTCTGAAGTGTTTTCCTTTTCACAGCGCCTTCTTTTGCTTGCTCTTGCCCAGAGGCAAAATTTTCTTTGCCTCCAAAAGTTTTTGTGAAGACCGTTTATTGTTTTCAAGTTAGAGCTCTGTGAGAAATTAAATTTTTTTTCATGGTGCTTCCAAAAAAGCCCCAAACAACAAACCCACTGATTATTTTTAAACTTGAGGGAAATAAAATTCAACAGAAATTTCCCACCCCCTTCAAAGGCTGCACGGGTGGCCCAACTACAAATGGGGATTTTATTAATGTGGTTTCACGTCTTATGTTACAGGTATTCCAAGCCAATAACGATGCAACAGAGGTGGTTTTGAACAAGCTGCACACACCGCTGCTGACAAGGTTCGTCCGGGTCCGCCCTCAGACCTGGCACTCGGGCATCGCCCTCCGGCTCGAGCTCTTCGGCTGCCGGGTCACAGGTAAGGGGGCTCCAGTGCGGCTGGGGAGCTGGTTGCATCCCGGGCTCTGAGAATAGCATGATTATACTGTATGACCTTTCTAGAAGGATTGGCTCAAGGACTCAAGTCCTAGCAGAATTTCTCCATTCATTCATTCATTCGGTATATACTTATTAAAAGTCTACTATTCCTACTACCTAACATTTATTGAATGCTAACTATGTACCAGGTTCCATTCTAAGCAAGCACTTAAGGTATGTTACCTTTTATAACCTTCGTAAAGACTCTATGAATGGCATGTTGCTATTCTCTCCACTTGAGAGATGAGGAAACCAAGACTTGGAGACATAGCTTCCCTGCCACTAAGTGGTAGAGCCAGGGTTTGAAACTAGGTGCTTTGAATTTAGAGCCCGGCTCTTAAATAACACTTTCTGCTGCCCCAGCTGGAGGCCAAGACCTACACAAGGCGTTATGGGTACAGTGATAAGCTCAACAGACCCAGCTCTGTAGGGACATCTGTACAAGTTGAGAAGACACAGTAATACACAAACAAAACCACAAATGAAAGTAAAATCAAAACTATGATAAAGGATGCCGTAGGGGACTTGACCCCATCTTGGAGGTCAGGAAAGAGGAAGACTTCCTTGAGGAAGTAGTGGCTGAGCTGAGGGCAGAGGGCACACAGGCCTCACCTCATAAAGACTGGAGCAAAAGTCCACCAGGGAGGGGTCACCGCTTGCTCAATGGCACAGGGGCAGGAGGGACCAAAAGAGGAAGTGAGGGTGTGGGCATGGAATGTGAGGCCAGAGCCGGGGGGCGCAATGTGGAGGACAGACTGGAAGGACCATCATGGGAGCTGGGATAGCATCAGGAGGCTGGCGCAGTGGTGAGGATGAGAGAAGATGGTGGTTAGACCAGCCCCAGCCATTTATGAAGAGCCTGCCCCCTTCTTCCTACAGACTAAGCCCAGTGGAAGAAAGTTGCTTCTTTGGCCTGGAAAGGTCTTCAGTGTACATCTGCTCACCATCCTGTCCCCTAATCATCCATTCCAGCTCAGAGAGGGAGTGCTTCATGGTGGGATGGTGTTTTAGGCTTCTATTAATAGTTAAAATACCTTGTGTATATACGGTCTCTACATTTTTCGCATGCCTTATTTGCACACCATCTTGTCCACTGTCTGTAACAACTCTATGAGGTCAGTGGGGCAGAAAACCAGGACTCAAGAAGGGTAAAGAGCTTGCCCAGCATCACCCTACTAGGAGGTGGCAGAGCCAGGAAGAACCCACATTATCTCAGTACAAATCTTCTGCTCTTGTAGCCTTTGCACAAAGACTCGGCTTCCCTCTTATGGGAGTGGTTCGTCCTAACCCTACCTAGGGGACTGTTTTTTTGTCCCTTTCCCATTGCTGTTCCAAGTCGGCACAGGCTAACCAGCAAGAACTCAATTAAAACTCATTTTTCTGGAAACCTGAAAAGAGAGAACCGGTGGGCTTGGAGAACTGGGACCGCCGGCGGGGGCTGCAATTCGGTTTACAGGTGTCTGATGCGCACTGACGGTAGACCCTGCCTTCTCCACTCACTCATTTCTCCACAAATACTTACTGAAGGCCCGCTGCGTGCCAGGCCCCATCCGGGGAGCTGGGGCTGGAGGAGCGAGCAAAGCAGATGGGGTCTCTGCCATCATGGAACTTTCAGGCTAGTGGGCAAGGTAGATAATTAGCAAAGACAAGTACTGGATAATTATAAACGAAGAAATGTTTCTGGAGGAAAAGAACAGGGTGCTCTGAGAAAGAGTGACTCTAGAAACCTAATTGACTACTGATTGAAAGTTTGGGGACAGCCTTTCTGAGGGTGTGACACTTAAGCTTGGGAGATGAGTGAAGAGTAGTCCGGTGATGGCTGAGGGGAAGAGCGTTTGGGGCAGCAGAACAGCATGTGGGAAGGACAGAAGGTAGTAAAGGGGAAGTAGAGACCTGACCCCAGGAAGGTTTCCATCCAGTTGGGAAAACAGTCTCCCAGGAAACAATGCTCAGCCGAGCTCCTGCCTGTGCTCACCACCACTGGGAGGGTCGGGGGGACTGGTGTCACCAACAAGGATGCGAGGGCCCTTGGCTGATGGCATTAGATGCTTAGACATGTCAGGCACTGGGCTGTGAGCTTTTATATAATAACTAGCGGAATCCTTGCAACAACCCCCAAGAGGGCAGTACTATTATTAGTCCTCCTTTAGACCCGGGGAAACTGAGACACTGAGCAATTTGTCCAAGGCCATACAGCTAGTAAGTGGCAGAGCAAACATGGACACGGGCAGCCTGGCCCCCACTCTTGGCTCTCAACCACAGTATTATTCTACCTTGAAATGCAAAGAAATGAATGCTGACTTGAAGTGTTTGATACCAGGTGGGTCTTTTTCACAGCTCCCTACTAATGGGAGTGGTCCCCGGTTAGGATGGCCCTGACCTCTCGTGCCTCCCTCGCCTCTCCACAGACGCCCCCTGCTCCAACATGCTGGGGATGCTCTCGGGCCTCATCGCTGACTCCCAGATCTCTGCCTCCTCCACCCGGGAGTACCTCTGGAGCCCCAGTGCCGCTCGCCTGGTCAGCAGCCGCTCGGGCTGGTTCCCTCGGATCCCTCAGGCCCAGCCAGGTGAGGAGTGGCTTCAGGTGGACCTGGGAGCGCCCAAGACGGTGAAAGGCGTCATCATTCAGGGGGCCCGAGGAGGAGACAGCATCACCGCCGTGGAAGCCCGGGCGTTTGTGCGCAAGTTCAAAGTCTCTTACAGCCTAAACGGCAAGGACTGGGAATACATCCAGGACCCCAGGACCCAGCAGCCGAAGGTAGGCCATTCGGGAAGACTCTGTAACCTCACCCCAAACAGGCTGTTTAAGTCGGGAGTGCTGGTTGTCCATCCAGGTGATCATCGCCAAACCCCTGTATTCCAGCATAACAAATTTTAATGAAGAGATTACTTTGTGCGAGACACTGCACTCAAAGCCTTATTTTAGTCCTCATTATTATTTTAATCCTTACATTTTTAGAAGGTGGACCCTTTGGCCACTCCCATTTTAGAGACGACAAACTGAGGCTTAATGTCATGCCCAGGGTCACGCAGTGTACCTGCGGTAGATCCATGATGCAGACCTCGTAAGTCCGATTCCAAAGCCCAAATGCCTTTCTGTGCAGTTCGACGCCCATTGCATTCTCTTTCAGAGAAAGTTTCCTTCCAATTGGCCAGACAATCAAAGGAGATGTGGTTTTTGGAGGCTAAACTATAGAAACAAGGGATATACTTCCCAAAACAACTGTGCTTTTCTGAATGTTGCTGCCCTCCTTTGTAGTTTCCTAGCTGTGACTCTTCAATCTTCCCTGCCTCTCAGGCTGAGGCTGGGGAGAGGCAAGAGCAACCCACTGCCGGCCTCAAGTGCCAGCCAGTGTGGCACGCCCCCTCCGGCCGTCGGAGGGGTGAGGGTCAGCCTTCCACGGGAACCCCAGGAAGGAGAGGGGACACCACATCTCTTCTCCAGATTAATTTCCCAGTTAGCCAGGCTTTCCCATTCTCACTTCTATGTTACCCCTTATTTTCCTCAGAAGATCAGGGCCCCTAACAAGGAAAGCGGTATCACATGTCTCTGTCTAGCCCCTTTACTAAGCAAATGTTTTCATTCTTAATACAGAGACAGGGGCTGGCTTAGAGGTTTTGCAATGCCGATGTAAACCCCCAGCTTGCAACCCCAGAGGCTTGGGAAAGGCTCAGGGCTTGGTAACCGGAACCTTTGGTGGATGGAGCAGAAGTTGGACCACAGGCTTCCCCAGGGAGAGCTGACCCTGGATCTCCTTAACCATTATGGGGGCCTGGGAAAGGAGATGATCTTAGCCAGGGTCAGAGCCTGCCCTTCCTGTGACAGCACCCCTCACTTTTGGAACTGTGGGCCCAGGGCATCCTGCAAAACAGGGTGATTCTGCAGCACCCCTGGATGCTGATCAGCCACAGCCCCTGGCCAGCCCCACACCAACAGTCCCCTAAATCAGTGGCTCCCAGGTGTGCTCCGGTTGGGTCCCCTACCTGACTTCAACCAGGACCATCCCACTCTCGTCAGTTTTATGTATTGGGGCTCTCGGCAGGTTTTCTTTTGATAGAACTGCCGCCACTGAAGCAGAGGTTTGGAGAACACAGTCCCTGACTCCCAGTGTGACGAGAAGGCATTGTTGTTAATCCAGAGAAGGGAGTGGTCACTTTCCCTTCAGCCTCTCAGTGAACTTAAGACCTATCAGTCAACTGGGACTTTCTAAATCTAGACTTTCAAAATTTAGAAAAAGAACTGGATTAGAAATTCTCTTCCTAATAAACCGAGAACTTGGGAACAAGCAAGGCACACTAAACTCCCTTCTCTTCTCTCCACTCAGTCCAGCTCAAGATTCATTCAGAGACTCATTCTTTTCTGGGTCCTCAGTTTCCATCCCAGGACAGAAGACAAGATCTAGCAGTTGCCACTTACAGCAGCTCCCTGTTTTTCATGTTTTGGGTCTCTAACCACCTTCCCAATGAATAAGTACCTTGGTCTGAGGACGGAGCTCCCATGGATCGTAATGTGCAGCAACCATGAATCAACCGTGTGGCTGCCTTCTGGTTGGATATAAAGGGTGGGAAGGAGAAGGCAGGGAGGAAAGGGAAGGAAGGGATGATGGAGGAGGGGGTCCCCCATAAGAGAAGCTGAGCAGCCTGTCTCCCTTGCAGCTGTTTGAAGGGAACATGCACTACGACACCCCTGACATCCGAAGGTTCGACCCCGTCCCTGCGCAGTACGTGCGGGTGTACCCCGAGAGGTGGTCACCAGCAGGAATTGGGATGCGGCTGGAGGTGCTTGGCTGTGACTGGACAGGTAAGGCCCCGCCTTCTCAGGATGCCCTGGGAGCAGGTCAGACCATGACATGGATGGGGGCTGAGGGGCACCCACCCCCGGTTGAAACCGTTATTAGCCCGAAACTGTGCAGAGCCTGCCCGCTCTGGGCCCTGCTGTGTTCTCCTGCCTCCGACCACGAACACCACAGCCTCTGGTCTTGGGGCAATTTCTCAAGGGAGGGGCTTTGTCATTTTTAAAGGATGATTTCAGCTCTGTAGCCCAAGTCTCTCAAAAACAAATCATAACCACACACCACCCACCCAAATTCAATTAGACCCTGACTCTTCAGGCCAGGGAGCTGTGGCTGTTGATTTAGGGAAGGAAAAAAAAAAAAAAAAAACCTCATGATAATAAAGTAATTGGTTTATGTCTGAATCTGGCCTCCAGATGTCAGTGGCTAAGAGACTGCATTTTCATTTTGAAGCCACATCTGTAAAAGGCATTCATTTGCTCAGGAGGGACCCTGTTGCTGGGGACTTCTTCCCAGTGTGTGGCAGGAGCCTGCTGGTTCCTGCCCCCACCAGGCGGTCCAGGTCCACTGAGTACGCGCGCCCACCCTCTTGTTTGCCAGGATGTGCCCCGTCCTTCTGAGCCGGACCCCACCTGTCCTCTGAGCACTGGGCCTCCGGCCTCCACAGAGCTGACATAGCTCCCCCCTGGGCTCCCACACTGCCTGTCAGAAGGGGCTTGGGCGGCCACAGCAGCCGCATGCCAGCAGGAGCGTCAGGCAGGCCGAGCCTCCCTGCCCCGCCCCACCAGCACCCCAGGTGTCTCCATTTTCCTGTCTGTGCTGTACCTGTCACCAGCTCCCGCAGCAGGGAAGCCGGAAGGATTAATAAGGGCATGCTGGAGAAGTGCTCCGGGCTCCCAGGGAGAAAAGTGCCTCCCGCATGCCGGCTTCGATGTACAGAAGAGGTGGCCCAATGAGGCACGCAGGTGGGAATCGGGCCCAAATTAGCCTGTCTCACCTTCAGATTGAAGGCAGCCCCAATGAACACACTTAGTGGGAAGACACTTTACTCCCCATTAGGCAGGACTAAGGCCAGCTTTCCCTGCTGCCTGCTGAATGTGCGTCACCTGTCTGCTTGAGGTGCTGAAAACTCTCCCTCCAACCGTGACACAAGCTGGTGGGATTTATGGCCTCCTTGGAATCAGAGGATTAAGAGAGTCACAAGACCCAGGAGCCTCTGGGCCAGTGGCTTTCAAATGTTTTTAACCATCGTCCACAACTTAAATGTATGCAACAACCCACTTGACTTACAAGCACATGCATGTGCACATACACATACATACACAGAAGCACACCCATGCGTGTGCCTATGGGGAATAGTGGATTATCACTAAATGCCTGGACTCTGGCAAAAGATTGCCATGTACCAGTCCTGCCTTTGCCGATCACTGGGGATATAACCTCAGACAAGCTACTTAGCCTCCCAACATCTCAGTTAGCTTAGCAGAAAAATGGGGCTGATCATGGCAGAGTTACCCCCACCCCCCCAGGATTATTATGAGGATTCAATAAAATAGTAGATTTCAAGTACTTAGACTGCTGCCTGGCACCTAACATGTTAGAATAAGTAAATATGACTGACCCAAAGCTGTGCTCCTCCTCACCAGGTGAGTGCACTTTGAAATATTGTAGCTCCTATTTTTAAAATGCTGGTCTTGACCCGTTAAATTGACTCTACAACCTACTAATGAGTGCAACATACGGTTTGGAAAAAAAATCGTAGTCTAAGCCAACACCCCTCTCACAGAAAACGAAACTGAGTCCCAGAGAAAAGAAACAACTTGCCAGAGGTCGCTCAGCCCGCTGGGGGCTGACTCACACTCCCCTCCTCTCCTCGGCCCCTCTGTGCACTGCCTCTCCCAGCCTGGCCCTGCTCTGCGACCGGCTGGCCGGACTGGACAGTTGCAAATGGCCTTTTCCACTTAGGGCTCCCCCACCTCAACCTGCCCCGAATTACACTGGTGATGGTCAGCAACAGGTTTCTCATTTCAAAGTCCTGCCTGGTCATTCCTCAGAAGATCAGAGTTGGGGCTTGCCTCCCTCCCTTTGAAGTCTCAGACATCTGGTTTCAATTGCAGTTTAACGGGCAGTTACCTCGGAGCGCCCAGTACAAACACAGTGGTCACGGAGGCCGGCTGCTGTTTCTTCACTGTCAGTCACACGCCCTGCCCACTTGTGGTCTCCCAGCCCCCTGTGCCCCTGGATTTAACATCATCTCCTCCAATCAGCTTACTCATTTTGCTACCTAACATTCCCAGAAGCTCATCTGCTAGGGCGTGTGGGCTTTCTGGCTTTTCTCATGTCCCTTTTCTGCGACTCTTCCTTGATTCACTTCTTCATTCCCACCCCAGAAGGATCCCAGGAAAAATAATGGGCTGGGCTCAGTCGCCGCAGCTAAATAATTTGACAGGGCTGCCTCACCTGTTGGTTGGTTTGTGTTTCAGATGATTACTTCTTGCCTTTCTGCCCAGAGTTTGCTCTACAATTGAGTTGGAGAGTCTCTGACACAGTGACAAATCTGAACTTACAAATTAGGATGCTTCGAGGTTATTTGCTATTTACTGTGAGCAAGAGACAGACACGGCAAAGGGAAGCCTGAAAGGTTATGCGTGTAGTGTTTAATAGCAAAAGGATGAGAAGTCGACCGTGAGAAAGCTATTCAGCGTATTTAGTGATTTCTTTTCAGCTCCTGGCTTTATTAAATGGTATCCTGAAGAGGGCCTGACAAAGACGCCTGATCACGCACAACAGTGCCAGGGAACATGTATAAGAATGGGAGGGACAATGCGCGAGCTTTTTCGGGGAGTCTCCTTGGAGCTCAGCTCTGGGACAAAGACCCCACCCACAACACATGGACTTGAACACCGGTTACCAGCACCCCTTTTTGCCCCACCAAGGGCCTGACTCACAGTTCTATTCATTTCATAGACAACTGCTGAATGAATGATGGGGGTGAGCAAATAACAGTGAATGGATGGCTGAATGAATCACCTGGGTCAAAACTAACAGCCGGCAGCAGGTTTGGCCCAGCCCGGTTTTATGCATTCTTCTTATTATAATATTTTGCATAAGTTGCCAACATTGATAAGTCTGGAAGTTTTCCACAGGGATTGTTGGATTCATGTAGGGAAAAAAATTTTTTTTTTTTGCAAAATCTAGCCACACTGGGCTACCTCCCCACCCCGGCCCCTCAGAACCTCAGTGTGCTGGGGCCAACCTTGGTGGCCTCCTTTAAATCAAACGTGTAAGACCCCCTCTGCCATCTTTGCCCCACACTTGACTCTCCCTACCCCCAGCCATTTATCCTCGCTTATAGTAGCTATTTGCATCCAAGAAGCATTTGAATCTGCCATACCTTGACCTAAAGGCACAGCCTCACATTATTTCCACCAAGTGGAGTCTGAATCTCTTTGAATCCATATTCCTTTCCATTCACTTTTGTGCAAACATGACAACAGTGTCTGGGGTCATACCTCCCAAGCATCTGGCTTTGCTTATGGCTTTGGTGACTGTGCTGTTGATTATCTTGCTATAGGCGAGCCCCCTAGGTCAGGTTAGCTTTCGTTCAGACAGTTCTGCCTGACCCAGAGAAGGCTGGAAGGAGAAAGCCTATTCCACATGAAAGCAGGAGGGAGGCGCGCCACCCAAGGGGAAGTGCGCAGATAGGCATTTTCCACAGAATGGAAGCTCTCTCCGTGAAGCACCGAGGTTTTCTCAAACCGTTTTTGATTGGCATCACTCATTTTGTGGCTGTGCCCAGCCACACTTCCGTCTTAAACCGAGCACCCAGAGCATGGTTGAGCCTGGCCTCTGGATCAGCATCGCCCACATTCATTAACTTCTCGTGCAGCCTCTGGGCTACCCCAGAACCTCTAATGTACGTTAAGGAGCATGGGTTTTTCTCTGGCCCGCTCTCAGGGCTGTTTCTGCAATGTGGGTCCATTTTTGTTCAACTCAGACAACGCTCTTAACATCCTTGATGACATACAGAGGTGACTTCTGGGGAGGGGTGTGTCTGTGTCCATTTTCGTTTCCTTTTCCTTCTCTGGTAGCGCACACTTAGAAAGGAAGCTTAGTGTTTAGCATCTTCCTCCTGCTGCATTTTAATGCAAGCTGCTGCATGCAACATTCACACCCCTTCCTTTGCCTTTACACAGACGCAAAGCCCACGGTAGAGACGTTGGGACCCACTGTGAAGAGCGAAGAGACCACGACCCCATATCCTATCGATGAGGAGGCCACAGAGTGTGGAGAGAACTGCAGCTTTGAGGATGGTGAGGATGGGGGTCAAAGTCGTATTTCATCCAGGATGGCATGGGTGCCAACCAGTAGGGGTGGAAGCTGAGTTGTGGCTGGGGCAGGAACCTGGAGGTCCCCTGGGTCAGAGATCAAGGAGGTGTGAGTACTCAGGAGCTTGGAGAAGTGGCTATCTACATCCAATCCTGAAGCATTCAGATATTGGAACAACCTGTAGAGCCCTACGGGCATGAATCCACCAGTCATCAGCTGAGATGAGGGTCCAATGAAAGAAGACTCCTCCTCCAAGAAGTCTTCTCTAGCCCTCACTTCACATCTTCAGATTCTGCATCTGGGATCCTGTTTCCTACTATGCCACATCTTCACCACACAGTCAGGTGACCATCTGGAGCTGACATGGTTTATGGAGCGCAGTGGTCGGGTTAACTCAGCAGTTAACCATCCCTTAATTGTACTTCCCTGTGTCTTTCACCATTGATTGAGAAAGCGTAATAATTATGACTCCATGAGATAGTGAGGGGCGGGCAGGTCAGTGTCAAAGGCAGAAACGGGAAGAGGCACGTCAGCGTTCCTTCAGAACACAGGGCCTCCTTCTCATCGCATGGGAAATCTGTATTGCTCTCATTTCATCTTCTAAACACATCCATGTTAGATAAAAACAATTGGCAGGGCCCAAAAGTGCAGCACATTTTAAATCATACCACTAAGGTTACCGAGTATGAGAACATTTCTAACAAACCACAGATTTTGGAACACCTGGCATTTTTGGCTAGAACTGAATGCTTGACAGCCTCCATTTACAGTAAATTACTGACCACTATTAAACGTTCATTAAACAAAATGAGGGAAGATTGGTGAAGAGACTTGGGAAGTGACGGAGACATGAAGATGTAGCACCGACTCCGTAGGTGAATGGCGGAGTCCGTAGAACCCGCACACTCAGCCATTGGACAGTCTGAGGAACTGTGCTGATGGAGTGGCCAACTCCAAAGAAGTGGCTGCAAAGAAGAATGGGAGGGAAGCCAAAAATAAATGCTGAAGTTGTGTGACTGAAAAATGGTAATTTAATGCATATGCTTTTAGGAATGTGCTTTTGTATATTGTGTGGGCGGAGGGACAGTATTGGTCAGGGTTAGTTGAATACAGAATTCTGACATTTTAATGAACTTGTTTTTGTTTTGTGGAAAGGAGAAGGAGACTTGGAGAATCTTCCAAGACATGTTTAAGATAGGTTGAGGGCCAAAAGTAGAACGCACAGGGAGTTAAAATATGGTGTCGGGTTAGCAAAGTTAGCTTGGCGGAGGACAGGAGGCGGGCTTCTATCTAAATGGCAGTCCAAAGGAAAATTTAAGGGTTCTGCTGCAAACGTTCAGAAGTTTAATATAATTTTCCCCTTTGTAGTGGTTTGTTTCCTTTGAGGTTTCTTTGGTGGTTCCTCCCTTTGCTTTTTTTTTTTTTTTTTTTTTTTTGCCTAAGATCTCGTTGTGGAATTTGGTTCCTGAGATACAGTATGCACATAAACATTAGAGAGGAATTATGGTATATTGAATTACTCCATATTTTTGAATGGAAAAGTAGAAATTCAGAAATTGTCGGGAGAAAGGGACAGTGAGGGCTAAGAGCTGACTTTTCCAAGCCACAGGTTGATGCTTCTGTAATAGATTCCATGTGTTTCTTCTAGACTCAAGCTGACTTTGGCCAATGGTGGGCAATCATTAAATAGTCCCTCTTAGGAAGGGGAGGCATAAACAGCACCCGGTGGCACTCTGCCTGTCAGGCCAGCGGTGCCCTTCCCCTCCGAGGTGAGCCCTCCGCACCTCTACAGTATGAGTGATTAGCTTCCACCAGCCAGTTGCTCCCTTTAGACTTCCTAACCTGCATTCTAGGCCTTCCCCATGGAAATTGCTCCCTGGGAACTCCGAGAAGGGAAGTGAGAAGGCCAAAGACCCCACTTCCTCTCTGCTACCAGCATTAGCCAACACTTTTCTGCTGTTTCCACAGCCACGGCCAGCAAGCATCCAGATTTAGGTTCCCATTTCCTCTTTTACCCACCTCCACACTCACCCCCTACTTTATCACATATTTGGCAGCAGCTCATACTGAATTTTTAGAGCTGAATGGAACCTCAAAAGAAACGCCTTGTGTTCAGTCCTCTCACTTAGGCAGGTGAACAACCGAGCAGATGGGACAAACCACTGGGTGGTCACTTCTTAGATTTCCATGAAAATGCACTCTCTGCTGACCTCAGATCTGGGCCTTCAGGCACTCAGCACCATGTGGAATTACTTTTACTCCCAGGCAGTGCTGAGCTGGGCGGCTGGTGGGGCCAGCTGCTCTGGTCCCCTCACTTTGCCCTAACATGCCACCTGGCACTGCCTCCCCCTGGGGATGCCGAAATGACCTGGACCTCTGAAACAAGAGACCCATCCCTAGGAGGTAAAGGGTAGCAAACAAGCCTTCCTTGTTTCTGAGGCCACTTTCTCCTCCCTGTCCCAACCTCCCCTGCATTTCAGCCTCTCTGGATGCTAATGGGCTGCCCCATCCCTTCTGAAAACCAGGTTGGCAGGAGCTAGCCATCCACGGAGGCTCTGGGAAGACATTCTTCTCTGGCATTTAGGGGACAGTGATTTTCACATTTGTCTGCTCTCCAAGGTGGACAGAAGAGGCTGAGTAGAGCCTGAAGCCATTTGGTGGCCTCGTTTATAATTGCTTACTATGGGAACCCTTGGCAGACTTGGCTTTCACTCCTGGGAAGGATGAGACCAAAGGCTGACCCGAAAACCAACCATCGCCAAGATGAGTTAAATGAATAAGCAAAGGGAGCCACTTTTTTCTCTGCTCTGCACTCAGGCCTTGCCAGCCATTTAAATAGCACTAGTGTGGCTGTTCTCTGAATCCATTTCATTTGCCTTCCTTTGGTTATTCCCCCCCTCCTTTTAGACAAAGATTTGCAGCTCCCTTCAGGATTCAACTGCAACTTTGATTTCCCTGAGGAGCCCTGTGGTTGGATGTACGACCATGCCAAGTGGCTCAGGAGCACATGGACCAGCAGCACAAGCCCAATCGACCGGACGTTTCCAGGTAAGCCAGCTGCGAAGTAAGCAATGAAAGAGTTAATGCTAACCTTCCCCACATTTTCCAGCTCAGATTCCCTGCCAGGCTTCGTGACTTCCCGCCACAGAGCCATCTTCTGCTCTTTGCCCGCTAACCACCATAGTCATTGCTCACAACATCACCCCACAGAATAGCAGGTTGGTCTACCCTCTCTTATGATTATAGGACAGCCTGGCAGCTGGGAGGGAGTGAGAGAGGCCAAGATAAAAGAAGAGGGAAAAAGAAAGAGCAATTGGGACGCCCTAGGAGATGGGATGAGTCAATGCCCCCTTGTTCCCATAGCCAGGACTCACTGCCACCATTGCAGAGCCTCTTGTCAACTTCAAGCCGGGTACTGTTCATAAAATGGCCCAGTAGGAAACCAGTGGCCTCCAGTCTGACTGATCCTTCTCCTCGGGTACCATTGCTCTGGCAGAACCAGTCGAGGGCCTGCAATGCTGCCGTACCCAAGGGTGTCTAGCAGAGATACCTGGCGCTTGCCCTTTCAGAGAGTCTGATTTCAGAAATCCCTCTGGCACCTTGACAGAGAGGGGCTGTGTTTGGCCCTTCTGAGTAGGCAGGATCAAGTCACCTACAGTATCCTCTGTCACATGCTCTTAGAGTGATGTTCTGGTAAATGTTGAACAACCAGCTCTCCAAGGATTAAAAAATCCTGCTTTGTAATGTTTGCCACTTTCAGGGATGTAAATACCTGTACTATGGTTGAATTCAAGCTGCCAGCCATTGGAGGTGGAGTGGAGAAAGTACGATAACATAGCATTTTATAGTGTGCTCCCATCAGACGGATGTAATTCACGCAAATAACTTTGGAAGCATAGGTACCGGTAAATTGTATTAAAATAATTAGGACATCTTGCATTTTGAGAATTTATTACCTTTAGTTTTTAATATAATTTATGTAATTGTAACTTTCTATAATTTAATTTTTAATAATGCTTGCGTTTGACACCTGGCTTGCAGAATTCCAGATATTTTAACAAAGGGCTGTCACAAACATCAGCTCCAACACGGCGGGCGCTAGCTTTCAGTTTCCCTACACCCTTTGCTTACACCGCAGGTCCCTGTCAGAGTTCCAGGGGAAAAGGGTTAATTCTGGAAATTGGTAGATTAAATGTTCCTAGAGAATAAAAGGCAAAAGCTGTCCTCCCCTTCTGCATGACTCCCCAGAGCTGCCCCACTGCCCCTCACCCCAAGACATGGCCGTGCCCCTGTCCCCAGGGGCAGCAGAAGGACAGATGCCAGCAGAGCACCGCAGCCAGCCCCCCGACACAACCCGCATTTGCGTTCCCAGAGGGTCGCAGCGTCTGCTCTGGGGAAAAACATTTTCATATTTCAAGTGTTTATCTCTTCAGTGTTCAAGTGCTTGGAGAGATTAATATCTGAAGATCACCGCAGCCTCGGGCAACAGGAGAGAACACTTACCCGCGTCCCGGCCCTAATCACCCTCCCTCCTCTCGTTCACTGCAATAATGTTTAATTAATATAATGAGCCTCCTGCATGTTGGAAAAAAATACTTATTTTTATAACCCAGCCTGGATTTTTCATTTTATTTCCCCTCCTTTGAGACTTGGCCCAATTAATTGGTGATTTTCCCAACCCCCACTTTTTATCTTAAAGATTTGTAAGCTTTGTGTCTCTGTGTGCATGCATAGTGTTGTTAGATGTGTGTATTTGTGGGTTACATCTGTATGCATGTGTTCCTTTCTCAAGGTGTTTGGTGTTTTTGTGTGTCTGTGCGTATGTTATGTGTTTTTATGTATAGATGTATATGCATTTTAGTGTTTGTGTGTTTTAAGCGTGAATCTCTGTCAGTGTGTGTCTGTAGGCTTGTGTCTGCATGTGTTCGTGGTTTCTATGCATGGGTGTGTGTGTAAGAGGGCAGCTTGGCAGAGGCCCACAGATGATACAGCGTGGGGACATTTACTGGCTCTTATTCAGCGTTCATCTTCAGGTTCTTTCTAACAATTCAGCTTCCTCCCTTGCACTCTTCTGAGCAAATTGTCTCTAAGAATGTCTGAGGCCTGTCCAGTCCAGGCCATAAGGCCACCGATTAGCAAGTGACACTTCTGGGAGAGCTTAAGTTATTCTCCATTCTTCCCTGGCCTTTACCTCTGTTCCATTGCCCCTTCACCCCCCGCCTCCCCCTCTTCCAGCCCCCTCCCTCACCTGACTGCCCCGTCTGCCGACCCTGGCTACTGGTTGGGAATTCTAGTCCTTGTCCTCATTCCAGTTGATTCATTACACTCTGTGGTTGGGAGGGCTTCTCAGAGCAAACTCGCAAAACGGGCAGAATTCCAACCTTTGGCTGGATGGACAGGGACAGAAGGAAAATTAAGGCCATAAGGAACTGCTAGACCTAATGGTGTTCTCCCCCTAAGATATTGAGAAAGAAAATAATTATTTTCCTCTTCCAGAGGAATCCCTGAAGTTTGGAAAAATGACACTTGGAACTTGCCTCCAGAAAACAAAATCATCATACTGTTTTCTGGACCCTTCCTTCTCCCCTCTGATGAGTTACAAAATTATTTGCTGTTATTTCCCATGTTCCTTCTTACAGAATTGAATACCAGGCTTTAAGAAAGAGAGGATAGAAAGCCCTTTCTGTTCAGGGTGGTCCCTTCTTCAAAAAATGGGCCCCTGAGGGGAGCAGTTGGGAGAAAGGAAACAGCTGTGCTTGGTTAGGGGCAGGGCAAATGCTAATGGGATCAGAGGGCCGGACCTTCCAAGTCAAACCTGAAAGCTGCTGTGTCACCCACACATCCCCGATTTCACAGAGAGGAACGCACTCTGCTCTTTAAGAGCAGTGTGCCATGTTTTATCCCGTCATTAGGTTAGTAAACAAAAGTAATTACGTTTAAGGAAGGAGGTGTCTCCATCAAGTAAGGAGAAAAAAGGAGGAAAGAAAAAAGGAAACAGCCATGTTGAAATATCATACTCAAGGCCATTGGGTTAGAAGCGTCTGTGGAAACTACTTGCATTCCTTAGATATTTTCAGATTTAGTTCTTTTCTCATGTTTTGTTTTTTTTCTAGTTTCTTTCTTCTTCTCCTTTTAAGTAAGCAATTAGTTCTGTTCTGGCCAGCGGTAGTGGTTGCTTAAGGCTGACAAGACACCCACTGGTTTCATTCCACTGTTTTTGTTTTTCAAGATAGTCTTTCAAGCCACTCAGAATTTCTTTTTTTAGCTCTTTGCTTGGGCTCAGAAGCCTGTAGTGTGCTCACACCCGCCCCTGGGGAACCTGTTCCCAATTCAGTGACCTCTGGTGGTTACAGGGGAGCCGCTCCCATGTTCTCTCGGAAGCCACTTTGCCTTTTCTCTGCAGCTGCAGTGACGCAGAAAGTGTCTCCCCTAGAGGGAGTTTTGAGGAAGATCAGATTGAGGTCTTTAAAGAGCAAGGCAGAAAGTTTTTGAGATGGCTACTTTGTCAATATGGTGGCCACCAGCCATGAGTGGCTCTTTTAATTTTAATCCATTAAAATTGCATACAGCTAAAACTTTTGTTCCTTTTTCACACTGGACACATTTCAGGGCTCAAGAGCCATGCTGTATTGGGCAGTGCAGGTGTACAGCTTGCTCATCATCACAGGATGTTGTCTTGGCAAGCGCCACTCTAGCACCTTGAAGTGTTAACATGAGCATGACCTCTGGGACCCGTGTTGATGCTATTGCTCCTCGGTTTTGTATAAAGCCAGAAGCAAGTAGTTAGGGGGATGTGCCATCTCTACAATCACTTAATGGGTGTGTTTAATGACTGGTATTTTGGTCATTGTTTCATCTTACCTTGGTATGCAACCATAGTAAAGTAAGCAAGTAACATATCATTGGATAGTCTAGGAACTACTTCATTCAATCAAAAAGACCATCCTAAATAAATACCAAGTAATACCAATAATAGTAATAATAACCATTGTTTCTGGTGTTTTGTTATTATTATTGTCAGAAATGAGACAAGAAGACTAGAGATACAGGTACTAAGCCAGGTCAGCCCTGAGGCTGTGTGTGTGGTCTCCCTAAATGTGTGCTCTTTGTGCCGTTGTTGACCTCATGAAGGATGATTACAGTATTACTTCATTTCAATAAGTACATATCATGGAAGTGATAAAAAGGAAACAGGAAAAGCCCATTTGGAATAGTATGCCATATGCCATTATGAAAGAACAGAGCTTTGGCTGCCTTGCATTTATATATTTATTGCTTTGGGAGGACAGAATCTTTACTCCAGGTTCAAAAACAATCTCAAGTGGTCACAAAATCAAGAATGCAATGTTCCAAAATATTTGAGTTTTACAAATGGCGGCTGCCCCTTCAAATGTACATGGCAGACACTGGGCTGTTTTGATGCAGAGTGGGCCACTGAATAAGCTCCATTAGAACAGAGGACCAAACCTGTGGGACACACACGAGAAAATTCAGTAGGTCGGTATGGTGGGCAGATGATTGCAGAGAAATCAAAGGAAGTAATTGATGAGTGAACTTGCTTATGATGGGCTTGTTTTTTGACAGAGAGCTACTGGTGACTCTGTGAGTTGAAAAGCAATTGTCTGTACTCAAAAGACCTTCCCCATGGATGGGACCAACGGCCACAGACAGTCCAGATACAGGACTGGCATTCACTTGAATTGCCTTTAGAAAGAGGTTGCTGTGGCTTGGCTGGGGCTCAGCAGCCATTGCAGGACTGAGACAGGAACTTCTTGGGCTTAGATCATGATAGATAATTAAAGACCATGAGGAGCTTGGCTAAAAGAAAGCCAATATTCAAGCAATAACTTCATATCTTCGACCTGAAAAAGGAAGCATGGCCATCCTTCATTAAGGAAAGTAGAAACACTTCTCTGACTTTGTAGAAAAGACAGCAGTAGAGAGGAGAAGCAATTATTATTATTTTTTGAAAGTCATAATTGCTTGAGTTCCCCAGCAGTGTGAGGGTGGATAATAAAAGGACAGAATGATGACAAGACCGCCCCCAA